TAATAAACTTTACTATAATTATCCTGGTCAAGTAACTTATTATAATGTTATTAAGCACTCACCAGCTCTCCCAAGGATTCATATAAAATAGTAACAATATTAATATAATTATATATATATTTTAAAATTAAACAAATTTAAAAGATTTAACTGCTAAATTAATTATTATTCAGAGAAATACAATAGCAAAATATTTCTTTAAACAACAATTTTCTTTTTAAAATATTACTAAAAAACTTATATAACTTTTAAATTTATAATTACTTTGAAAATTATACTGGTATTTTGAATTATAAAAAATTGAATAATTGTATTAAATCAAATATAATTAAAAGATTAGGTTATTAAAAAAACAATAACTTAAATATATTTTAAAAATATTTGAATTACTTGCACAAATTTCTAAAAAGTAATTTTATTATTAATATAAAGAATTATTTTATAATATTTTTTATATTATTTTTATATTCTTATTAAATTATTATTATTATTGATTAGAATTTTATTTTGAATTTTTATTTAAATTTCAATTCAAATTTCAAATCAAATTTAAATTTCAATCCAAATTTCAATTCAAATTTAAATTTAAATTTTTATTCAAATTTTGATTTGAATTTTTATTTTATTAAAAATTGAAATTTTATAATTTATTTATAAATATAATATATATCTTAATACAATCAAATCTTTTTATAGTTACCATCCTTGGGAAAGCAAAATTTGGTGATTATAAAAAGGATGTAACTATAAAGGAATTTTTTTTTACTATGTTTATATGTAAATGTGAAAGCAAAGTAAGATAACTATAAAGGGGTATAACTATAAACGGATGTGACTACAGAGAAATTTAACTATATTAAAAATAAGTCAAATTAGTTTTTTTTTACTTTTTTTAACTAATAAATAATTTTTATTTGGTTAATATTTTTCATTTTAATTGTAAAATTATTTTAATTTATTTATAATCTCTTGTCTTAATTGCAAAATTATAATTGTTAATTGATTTTTCATATTAACTGCAAAATTATAATTGTTTAAGTTAATAAAAAGAAATTATTAATACTTTTATTTATTTATAAATTATTCTTGAAGTTACAAATAGATTTACCTTTGTTAAAAGAAGATTTTTGAGCTTATTCTAGTTGTTCACAACACAAATATATGTTATCTATCTTTAAAAATAATATTAATTCTCTTATTCATAATTTCAATTACTTATATTATTTTTTTTATCTGACTTGATATCATGTGTTTTTTATATTATGTACTTGAAAAGTATAAAACCACATAAAACAATAACAATAAGAGTGATGATTATAGAGGGATTTGGCTGTATAACAAATAAATATGAATGAATGTGAAAAAAGAATTGACAAAAAAGAAATTTTTTTTATTTTGAGTAATGGAATCATGTAGTGCATCTATAAATCACATATAATATAAAGTAATATAATATTATATGATCGTCTTTCTAATCATCAGGATTCTTGGCCATCGGGATCTTAACTGTCAGGAATTATGGGATTGTCGGAATTAAGGTGTCAGAATTATAAACTGTCGGAATTATGGGTGTCGGGATTTTTGAGGATCCCATTCCTGAGAGCTTGCTTGATGGGGCTGTTTTTATGCAGTAAACTTACTGTATATACGCACTAACACTAATTGATTACTTTGTATAAGTCATCGTTATATATATTTGACTATTCCTACATATTGGCGATCGAAGGTGAAGAATCATGTGATATATGTATGCTATGTGAAATTTAAAATATTTATATACCGATATTATTAACGTTAGTGATAGATAATGACCAAAATTACCGATTTATCATCAAAAATAGGTTCACATTCAAGTTTGGACCCGCCTACACCTTTTTTATTCGGGTCCTAATCTTTTAATGCAAGTGTTGACCCATAATGATTGTCAGATTTTCTAAATTTCCATGGTTATCTTCGCAGTAATATATCTCAATTTCAGATCTTTTAAATCGTCAACCGGAAAACTCAATAACAGAAATAATACACTAATGATTAATTGGTATTATTAGATAGCTAATTACAATTAGTAGTATTATTATTTTTAAAATCACCATAAACTTTGCCTATTACAATAATTATATTAAAACAACTATCCTGCTCTTCCATCTTCAGTTCCCCATCCGCTGATTGGCGGAACTCCAATATTTTTTTCCTTATATTCGACAATGCCACGAATTTCCTTGGTTCCGGCAATTTTCGCGACCGGAGTGGCTACTGGTGATGCTTTGCCAGATAAAGCAGCTAATTGTGCCTCGCTAATATTTTTAAAAGGTACAATACGATTATCACAAAGAGGGCATTGATAATTCGCGTCTGCGTCTTCGACCAGTTCTTGGTATTTTTTTGGAGTAAGTATTTCATCACAGCCACAATGTATCCACCGGTCGCATCGGTCACAACACACCATGTCATTGTCATCATCACCTTCATTTTCGTCTCCTTCGCCTGAATAAGTCTTTAAACAAAGAGGACAAAATCGGTCGGCAATGAAATTATCATAACATTTGGTGCAATAGGAAGCCAAATAAATAGAATGCTTGATCTGATCAGATTGTGGAGATATTGTCGCTGAAATAAATTTGTTGGGATCATCATCATTACTGAGAGACGACACCTTTTTCTCACAAGAATGACATTGTGCACATATTGAGCACAACCAATTCCCTTTTCGCAAATATTAAAAAAAAGTTTAGTTAAAAATCAAACAAATTTACTACAAAATAGATTTTTTCTACCTTGTGGTACGTGCGTCACTATCGGTATACAACATCCAGTATGCCAGCCACGATCACAATCATCACATATTAGCAATGATGCTTCATCACCTGAAGTTCGGCATACTACACATAATTTACAATCATTACATTGCCAAGGATAACTTTCCAGAGCGACAATGAGCTTTGGTGTTTTCAGTCCCAAGCATAATGGATGATAACTACGCAAACATTTGGAACATTTTATCATGTGATCTGAAGAACAAGATGCTCCAGAAGATTTTTCTTCTGGACATGTAGTATTTTGGCAAAATACACAAGTGCTAGGCACAGATGGAGGCGGTGTTGGCGCTTGTGACTAAATTATTATAGAAAAGAAATATATGAGATTACGGATATATGGAGACAAAATATATACAATAAATACCACTGGTACGAAAGAATTTGGTCTTGGGGTAACATTGTTATAGTGATTGTTTTGTCGATTTGGTGTGTCAACCAGATGCTTGTGAAATTGGCATCTTTCACCTTCAAAAGAAACACTACGCCTGCAAGGTTGTCCTGTACTAGCTGTAAGGACACCGCATAGAAATTGAGGTGTACTTTTATAATGCTTTTATACGTAATATTTTTAAAGTTAATATCGAAATAGCAAATTATATTCAATCAAAAATAACTAGAGATATTTCGTACAGTATATTGACTCGATTCAGCATGCCGCCCGACTCGAGTTGGTGGCATTGAGTAGTTGTAATGTTGGGACTGAGGTGGAAGAGGAGGAGGTGGTGGTTGATGTTGATAATTTTGATAATATGGATTTTGTTGATATTGTTGAGGATAATATTGTGGTTGTTGGTAATATCGTTGATGCTGTTGGTTATAATTTGTATTAATTGGTAATGGATCAGGCATAGAATAATTATTTGATTGTGAAAATGGCGGAATTTTAGGAAGAATTTTATTGAAACGGGTTCGATGTCTATAAAATATTCAAATCTAAGTGTAAACATTGAGCATGTATTATATTTGATTTTCTAATTAAATTATCAATGATACTTGCAATGGATAAGTTGACTGATATTGAGCATCCATTAAAGCCAATGGATACTTTTCATCCTCTTCTGAAGGTTCTTGATTTAGGTATAAATTTACAATGTTTCGAATATCTGGAGGAACAACATCCAAAACTTCTTTATCAATTGATTTCAAATTGTTATTCAAGTTATCGTATTCAAATTGAACTTCATTTTCCACCGCAGATTCTCTTTGATCTGATGATAACAATGACAGTGATGAGCGAGGAGGAGGAACCTCAATTTTCTCAATTCTAATGCGAGTAGGCTGAGTAGCTTTAGGCACTTGTTCAGTGTTTGTATGAATATCATAAAAAGGGATTTTATCTTTTCTATGAATTTTTAATCGTGCATTGAACTCCCTTACTGATAATGCGCTTTCGTGCAGCCAATTAGTCTCGTTTACTTTTACCACTGGCACACTTGTGGTGGCTCGTTTCGATAATATATCAGGAAAAGTGTTTGACGGCGACTCCTCACTATTCTCTTTTATTGGATTTTCAAATGCAACTATGTGAGTTGATTCCGAATAATCATCCACGCCTCTTTTTCCATCTTCAATTACTTGATGTCCAAATAGTTTGAATGTAGAACGCGCAGATACCAGTGCAATTTGTCGATTACGGAAATTTGTTATCAAAATCCCACGTTGAATTAACTCATCACGTTCTGCATCGGTTGCATAAATTCTTTTTAACGAAGGATTTCTTAAAAAGAAGAGATAACTATCACGGAAGCCTAATAACTTTGCTGGATCCATAGATAGCATAAACCATATATTTCCGCGAGTTGAAAGCTGAAAAACTGGCAACTTATATTTTCTGCCTAGACGAAAGATGCAATAGATGAAATTTTTTTATAGCACTTACAAATTGATAGTATGCGGTAATACATATATCTCTCTACTTACCACCTAATAGTTCACCATCCTTAGTAACTTTTAGTTCGCCTTCTTCATCAATCTCACTTTCTGCCTCGACATGGTTTGACTTTTCTGGTGAATCTGTTTTCTGTTCTTCCTCAAGTCCTACTTGTCTTCGCTGTCTACTAGAACCTCCGTTAGCATGAGAGCGAGGACGGCCTGGTTTTCGTTTTGCAGGTGTGGAAGCTGGAGTGGAAGGAGAAGAAGGTTGAGGGTTTATTTGTGGAGAAGGATCTAAAGGCACGGCATTTGTTTGTGGTGATAATGTTTGATCTTTAGTCTCCTCCAGGTTATCTGGACTCGGAACTACTTCTTTCACTCTCGTTAGTTTTTTTCTCCGTGTTGAAGCTATGCGAGAACTTTTGCTTGATGGATTTCTTTTCGTTTTTGATTTGGTTTTTGAGGAAGAATCTGGTAAAAAATTTTGGATTTATTAACTTGAATCTTATCAAGAAGGAACACGCGCAATAGACGCGTACAAAATGATTAACTGATTTAATAATAGAAGTACCTCTCGAATCCATCTTTAACCACTTTGAATACTAGTAAAATTCAATGTATTATTATAGTGTTTTAAAAAGTGTGAAATTCTTCACAGTTTCAAAAATGGAGAAAAATAAGTTTGTTGGTACGCGAGCTGTTCAACTACTATCTTATATGCAAGTTACTTCAACAAACAGCTTATATATGAAGTCTTGTTTTTGAAGTGGCACGTGATATCGTTTTTATTAATTTCAACCTTAATTTCTGCTCTGGTTATAATATAAATCTCATTACAATTATGTAAGAATGATTAATTCGATATGTAGCAAAATTCTAGTTGCTAATAATGAGCGATTTTATAGACATAGAAAGCGAATGTTTTAAGGAACAAACAATATAATAAGAAAGTATTTGTTGTTTCCTCTTTAATTAATGGTACATTGAAACTCCCACACTCACTCACTTGATGCTTGGCTAATAATAAATATGCAGGCGAACCTACTAACTTATCTTTGATGTATGATTATCAAAATGCAAATTTCGAGCGCGGAGTATCTCTCTTAATTCCTATTCATTATGATCGAATATATACTCTATCGCTCTCCAGCCTCACCTTCACCCTCTAATTCTGCTGGACCTGCTTGTGCAGGAGCACCACCAGCACCACCAGCACGTTTTTTACTTGTCGCGCTTACAATGTCGTCCACTCGTAAAAGTAACGAAGCACTCTTTTATTATTTAATAGTCAATATTAGAAAATTAGTTGATATTGATTACGAATAAAATTTTAGCTTTAATATTATATTAAATAAAAAAATACAACAAACCTCAATTGCGGTTTTTATTGTTTGTACTTTTACCGCATTTGGTTCCCAAATACCATATTCGTGCATATCAACCACTGTGCCACTGAGGCCATCAATACCCCATGAGTGATTTCCTGTTGCGTGTTTTGCCTACGTGAAATTAAACAACACAGAAAATTAAAAACAATATAAAAAGACATTAAAAATAAAAAATAAAAATACCCTCAATTGTGTCAACACTTTAATCGCATTACCACCACAATTCTGTATCAAAGTTCTCGGTATAACTTCCAGAGACTCGGCAACAGCCCGATATGGCCACTGCTCTACTCCTTCCAAAGTTTTTGCTTTTTCCGATAATTTAACACTAACTGCCATCTCGGTAGCACCACCTCCTGGCGCCAAGGATGGATTAAAGAATACATTCCTGGCGACGTTCATTGCGTCTTGAAGATTGCGTTCTACCTCGTTTAGAATATCTTTAGATGGACCTCGAAGAAGAATTGTGCATGCTTTGGGATTTTGGCATTTTGTGAGGAAGGTGAAGTATCTTTATTTTTTTTGATGAAATGAATGAATTAAGGGGGAATAATTTGATAGAATAATACAAAAATTTTTAGTACTGACTCATCGCCAATCTTTTCTATGTTAAATAAGCCGCATCTTGTGCCCACATCCGATTCTCTTATATCGTCTACTCGATTAACAATCGTAGCACCAATTGCACGTGCAATACGATTGTTATCCGTTTTGCGAACTCTGCGAAGAGCAGTGATATTTGCTTTCAAGAGATAATGCTGAGCAAGGTCTTGTTATATTCCAAATAAATATGTATCAAAAATCAAATCATATTAATTCATGTATTTTATATAAGATTTAATAAATAGAGAAAACTCACCGGAAACACCCTTTTCCGTGAAAATCAAATCAGGCTTCACCGATATAATTTTATCGCACATTTCCTTGATTTGTTCCTCTTCAATTTGCAATAACCGATTCCAATGACTTTCATCCATAATTTCTGCATTAGTTTGTGACTCGCCCTTTTTATATTCAAGAGGACAGTCTAAAAGCACAATACGCGGATTCTCAATCTTACGACGCATTTTCGGATGTGTTACGTCCTTGTTTAACATTATTCCATCCAAAACCCTTGAATCTTCGATTTCACCACCAGGAATCTTTTTTTAACGCCATCAAAAGCATTAATTTTAAGATTTCAAAACATACATTAATAAAAAGAAAATAAAACCTTTTCAACTCGTGCATATCGTTTTATATCAACTTCTCGTCTCCCGTCTTCCTCTTTGGCAACTGTGCGCACGGCGCCCAATGCTAATTTACACATTAGATCACTCCATCGACTCACAAATTTTGTTCCGAGTGCACTCTGCACCAAATTTAACATTTCCTCTTCGCTCTCAATATTTACCGGCTTTGAAATATCATCAATGATTTTGATTGCATCATCAAGAGCCCTTTTATAAGCGGAAATTATGACTATTGGATGAATATTCCTTTCAAGATATGGAAGTGTTTGTGCGAGAACTTCACCAGCTATTAATTTAGTTTTCACAAAAACGAGCAAATCATTATTCCAAGTTGACAATATGGATTTGCAATCAATCACATGTATATATATCATAGAATCATTACCCAAAATAATGACACTAGTCGTTCCATCGCCAACTTCTTCGTCCTGCGTCCGACTAAGCTCGATCATGCTTTTTGCCGCCGGGTGAGCCACCTCGACTTCTCTCAGGATAGCATTTCCGTCATTAGTCAGCACTACTCCACCCATAGGGTCAAGAAGCATTTTAAGCATTGAGCGCGGACCAAGACAAGTTCGAATAATGTCTGCTACCGTTTTTGCAGCTGTTACATTCGAGATTTGGGCCTTACGACCCGTTTCTCGTTCAACATTTGTGTCTAATACAGGAAATTTCGGTTGACAAGTTATATTGGTTTGTGCAAAGCAATTGATGTAGTCAAGATACAAATTAAAATTTGTAATTGACGAGAGACTTTACAGGAAAGCATACATACTCATTACAATTACGGGAGTCTGCATCTTGGTTAACTTTTTGACGCGAGAAAATCTAATGAAATAAGTCGATGATTAAATAAATTGCTGATCAGATTGGTATTATGCAATCAGGTGTGTATGTCATAAGTTAGAGAATAGTAATACCCTAGCCACGGCAAAAAAAAGTGTCGGATCACGTGATTACGACCGATGCTGATCATATTCGATTTCCGAATCCATACGTTCGACTAAAATAAAATGTCGGGTCATGTGATTAAAAGAAAATGTGTTGGGTCATGTGATTTAAATAAAGACTAGCAAATTTATTTATTTATTATAATTTTATTTTTCTTACAATCAACATAATCAAAATGCGAGATTTTTTTCCTTTTAATTTTTGAGTTTCCTGTTAATGACAAGCTTGTAATGCTTTCTGATACTCGTTAATAACTTTTACCATTGACTTCACCAAGCTATCAAAAATATTTATAAATCTGTCATTATTTATTTCTTGCTTATATAAAGCTAATGCATCATCCATTACCTTTTTATAAATAGCAAGTTTTTCTTGTCTTTTTTCTATTATGTTGAATCCTATAATTGCTAATATATTCTGTAAGTTGATAGTACTGGAATTTTCTTTAACAGTAAGATCACTCGTCACATTCATTCTATATTGTCACTATTTTACTTGGATTTCAAGTATAATATATCTTTTTACGTGCTCAACACATGTTTCAAGTCAGATAGGAGAGATAAGATAAATAATTAAAGATAATGACGTGTATTCATTAAATTATTAGTCAGCTAAAAAGTGACTTAAGAAATCTTCTTATAAATTAATGTGTATATAATAATTATAACAATAGTTTATAGACAAGTAAAATATTATAAATTCAGTTTATTAAATCATTTTAACAATATGACATCACAACGTGTGAGAGGTGTGAGAGGTTCAAACTATAAATATAATATTACAAATATGTAAGAGATCATTAACATAATATTACAATATTATTATCATTCTTATAGTGATAGGTAAAGTATTAACTAATTATAGTAATTAATTAAGAATTGTATAAGAGTGATAATAGTGACTGTGTGTACTTGAAAGGGTTGGATACTAGATGGTTGGGAGAGAGTATTAAAAAGAAATAGATTCTGATACTTCCACTAGTTGGGTAAGTATTTTATAATTCAAAAATACGAATGATTTATTAAAATACAAAAGATGACTTCCACTAGTTGGGTAAGTCAAA